CACGAAAATCGTTCAATTACATATTAGTGAATGTCAAGCAAATGGCTCAACTGAGCACAGAGCAAAGAGTATTTATTGTCTTAAATTACCCATGAGTTCAAGATAGCACTCAGGCATTCAAATTAGAACAATGGTGAATTTCCAAGGGTAGCGCTTTTTTTGAGACACCCTGTATAACACTTACAATCAAACTGGACCTTTAATTTCCCGGCCAACTCATACAGGCACAGTTAATTTAATAAAAAATTCATCAGGTTATGCTACAATTAATTATATACATACGAATCGAATGTTGGAAGTGTCTGTATTTTAAATGGTTCTAATCTACTGTGGGTTGGAACTACTGTACGTAATCGCTTTTGTACAGACTTAAAAACAACAAACTTGCATCAATTAATGAAACTACAGACTTGTACCAACGCTCTTTCGACAACTTGTTATCAGGATGTATTCGCACTGCTTGTTCCCTTGACAAGTTGTCAACGGGTTGTTTACAGCTTGCTACAAGACTGTTGATTCAACAGACCCGTTACCTTGTCATCGTCCGGCAATTCAACAACTTGATAACAAGTTTTTTTTCTGTGTTGGTGTAATGTACTCAGGCGAATATGATGCTTGTGATGTTACTCTGAGTGTATATCCACACCGGGCAAGCTTGAAAAATATGCCTGGCCACGGTGGGAATCGAACCTACGACCTTTGGAAAGTAAGCCCAATGCTCTGCCAACTGAGCTACGTGGTCAGGTCGGTTCGAGTATGTGATATTTCGGAACTGAATCTAGTTCCTTCGATATCAATGTAATTTAGTAATCATGATATTTTCTGTGTTGGTGTAATGTACTCAGGTAAATATGATGCTTGTGATGTTACTCGGAGTGTATATCCACACCGGGCAAGCTTGAAAAATACGCCTGACCGCGACCGATTCCAAAGGTCGTAGGTTCGATTCCCACTGTGGCCAGGCATATTTTTCAAGCTTGCCCGGTGTGGATATACACTCAGAGTAACATCACAAGCGTCATATTTACCTGAGTACATTACACTAACACAGAAAAAATTATGATTACTAGGTTACATTGATATCGAAGGAAGTGAAGGAACTAGACTCGGTTCCGAAATATCACACACGCGAACCGACCTGACCGCGTAGCTCAGTTGGCAGAGCATTGGGCTGGTATTCCAAAGGTCGTACAGTAGGTTCGATTCCCACCGCGACCAGGCATATTGATAACAAGTTGCTAGTGAAAACCTTGCAGCGACTTGATAACATTGTTACAACTTGTTGACAAGCTTGCTACAGGCCTGTTACGAACACATCTTGTTGACATGTGAGATTCTTACGTGCATGTGTAGGACAGGTAAACTACATGGAAAACACACGTGTTTCCCCATACAACGCTAGGACGCTATTAATATTTAAACAAAGGGCCGTCTTTCGAAGACTCGTGGTTTTCCACATTTTTTCGGATCGTTCCGATCATCATACCAACAGTTGACAGTGACATATATGTGCTCTAATGATGGCTTACCGTCGTAGTTTTTTGATATAACCCTGTTTCGTATATATCACGGGAAAGGCCAAAATCCGAAACTTTAGCAATCTTATGTTTCCCCAAGAGGACGTTTCTTGCAGCCAAATCACGATGGATAATCTGTCAAAACATCAAAACTGCATTATTAATCATGGTAAAGTTCATTTCATTACTTCAGTTATAATTTCGCAGCTGAGGCGAAAACAAGAACGTTAATGGGCGAATATGTCAAAACAAAGAAAATTAAAAGTAGAATAAATTTCATAAATTTTACCCAAACAAGAAATAATGGATTAGTCCACAAGAATGGACGCGTAGTGTTATCGACTTATCGTCAGGGAAACTTTCTTTCACCTCGGTTGAAAAATGTCGGTTGTACTTGGGTATAAGAAAGAGTCAGCTATTATGCTCTAGCGAAAGTTGTTGCTTGTCTTTCCAGCTTTCCTTACATGTGGAATGTTTTCAAGGTGGTCACATGGGTAAATAGGTGAAGAGATTAGGAAAACAACACCAGAATTGTGTCAAAGATAAATATTCTTCCACCTTGTCAAACTGGGCGCAAATTTATTCTTACAATTTCAAAAAATATTTTCTTAAATTGTAAAATTTGTTGCTCACTGACTGACCTTCCTTTCCTCAAGGTATCTCATTCCTTTGGACACATCATAAGCAAATCTCACTCTTGTCAACTGATCCAGTGAAGTCACAAACGTTCCCTTGCCAGGTATGTCCAGGCGATGCTTTTTAAGATAGCTCAATAAACATCCATGCTCACAATACTCCACAACTACCAACAACGGTCCTATGTAAGAATATCCACATTTTATCAGGTTGCATTGGGAACATTAACAATTGAAAATAATAAAAATTAACGGGGAATAAATCAAAACCAAATTTGGCGTGCTTTACAGTTCTTCAATTACAGATTTCTCAACAAAATTGGAATATTGGGGATATTTTTTGAAATTCACTACGATCCAGGAAAAGCATAAACAAAATTGAAAGGTCCATTAATGAATTTTAGCTACAAGCGTGAAGTAAAAAGAATTTTATAACAATTTACCGAAATTGTAAATTCTTTTTAATTAATTCGATTGTACATTTCATAGCACAACTGATACAGTAAGAGTACGGTAATTAAAAGCAACATTAGTTGCCACGAACAGGGCTATAATCCTTCGCAACGTCGTGCCACTCAGCACAAGTTTTTAAACCTTAAAAGGTGACTTTCAAAGAAGACAGTATTTTTTTGTTTTTGCAATGGAATTTTCACCCACCTCCTCTTGAGCATGCTCCGACTAAGTTGACGATGTTTGGATGATCATTAACGTTAGCCATTAGTCTCAATTCTTTGAAAAGTTCCTTACGATCATTCTCTGTTGCGATATCTGCAAAAATCATGGCAAATTGTCACTCAGTTTCATCACAAAACCATTGAGAGAAAATTTCAACTTGACTTCTTACACTGCCGTAGTCAGTTGTAAAAATTGACTCGAGTGTTATTTCACCTATATTTCATCAATATTTCGTCCACTTGAAGTGGATAAAATTTGCATCCAATCGCTGTTGGTTCGATGTTCAATGGGTACAGCCGCAGACCGGGGTTCCGAATGTGCAAGTTCAAATCTCTCTCGAGCCAACTTTTATTGTTTGATCACGACAGAGTGAGAAATCATTCCGTTTTGTTAATACTGCATTTTGCATGGATCATGATACTAAGCATGCTTGTTATTATGAAGGAGATGATAGTGATCTTGGTGGATAATCTAACGGTAATATACTGTAATGATTAATGCACTACTCTGATCTGAACTTGTTGAAACAAAAGAGTTAGGAAGTGGTTTATTATTTCCCTTAACGATATTCCAATCTTCCCCTTTCGTATCAATCATATGCTGATGCAACGCGAGATGTTTGAATTTACACACAAATAAAGGGTTTTAAGACGGTGTTGATGGGGTATATCGTGAGTCGTGATTCACTCAATTTCGGCTACCGTCAGTCGTGAAAACGCTAAAAATTCACCGTGAAGCGTGAGGAAAAAATACTGTTTATCGTTTCAGAACACTTTTCAAAGATTTACCGTTAAAATACCAAAATTTTACCGTTAAAATACCAAAATTTTTACTGTTTACTTATTTTCAGATCCCCCCCCCCCCCCC